TATATTCTCTTATTATAGATCAGTGATGACATTATTCGCCAGCAGGAGGCGCCGGTGCACGTTTTAAAGTCATTGCCCGGATCTCTGACCTAGTTTTGCATCTAGAGCTCTAATGTGGTTATGGCAGGTTAAAACAGCAGTTATTAGTAATCAAACTCAAATTTTGCTTTCCATAAAAAATCATTTAGAAAAACCAAACACTATTCATAGTGAATGACCTCATCAAACCCACACAAAAGTTTAGTCTTAATATAGGTCATGTGAGTTTACACAGGTTAAATCAGCACAGGTGTGGCGGTTCTTCAGGTAAGATCACACCCTGCAGCATTGAGTGGCTCTTTATAAAGACTCATGGGACTTTACTGTCCACAACACAAAGAAATGTCAACGTGATGTATCTAAACCCTCCATCTCTGGAGATCCTGACAGAACAACAGTGTTTTTACTTCATGTCAGTCACCGAGCTGTATAAAATCAGAAGTTATAGGGAATGAAAAATCATAATGTTATAGTATGTATAGTATTTTATATATATATATATAGAGAGAGAGAGAGAGAGAAAGATAGATGTGTAACTGTGCATTATGTAGGTGAATACTGTCTCTCACAATGCCTTGCATTAATTTATTTACTTGACTTATAATTTGACCAGACTGCCATGAGAGATGTTAAAAATGTGAAACACCTATACAAGTATAAAAATAACTACTTTTGACATGAGGTCATGTAACAACAACTTTGAATACTATTTTTAAAACATAGTATGCCGAATTGAGTGTATACTACACAGTATGCAGTGAGTTAGTACTCTATTGCCAGTGTAACCTTGGTGTGTGTGTGTGCGTGGGGGGTTTAGGGCACATTTGTGAGCAGATCTGAGAATTAGCAGTTTCCCATTTTCCACCCATAACAAAAGAACACAAAACATTCAGTTCCTCAAGCATTTCCCACTCTGAGCGCAATCTTTCGCTTCTCAGTGCCTCACATTTTTCTCACTAAATCAGAGGCTGAGGGAGAGGGAGAGGGAAATCAAAATTATTGTGTCTCAAGCATGTTTTGACAAGTTAGTGCTCAAGCATGCTCAACACGGTAATGGGAACTATCAATGCGGTGTTATGTACAAAAAAAAAAAATTTGAAGAATTCAAAAGCTATTCAAGAATTTAAAGGGACCGTTCACCCAAAAATGATATTCATAAATCATCTACTTACCCTCATGTCATTCCAAATCTATATGATGTTCTTTCTTTCATTAAACACAAAAGATGATGTTAGACGCACTGTTCACATTGCTCTTTTCCATTCAATGAAAGTGGATGGGTTGTCGATCACAAATAAATATATAAAATGTAATTTATATAAATTTATTTATATTATAAAATTATAAATTAATAAATAAATATTATTTACAATAAATAAATAAAATATTAATTAAATTAATAAATTAAATCTATTATATACTAAAATATTAAAGCTCTTTTCCATACAGTGAAATAGGCTCTTGAACATAGTCAATATATAAATGTATAAATATATATATACAATTTAATTTATATAAATATAAATTTATTTTTAAATAAATTTATTATAAGTGTATAAATAAATGTAAAAAATATATATACACAAATACATTTTAATAAATAAATACATTAAAATCCATATATACTACTTATACTCGCTTTGGATAAAAGCGTCTGCAAAATGACTAAAATGTATACTAAAATCATACTTTAAAAAAAATTATTATAGGTGAAAGATTCACATAATGCAGGTTTGGAACAATATGAGGGTGAGTAAATTCAATGAGAATTTTCATTTTTAGTTGCACTCTCCCTTTAAATCAGTGAATTCTACACAAGCTTTATGGGTACAGTGAGTTAGTGCAGGCGGGGGGGGGCAGCATTCCTGGTTAACAATGAAGACACATGTCTCTTTTGGGCACCAGATTGTGTCGTGTTTATCGGGGTCACAAGGACTCGATTTAAACCCAGTTTCTCCCTCTCTCGATCTTATAGAGCTCTCATTGTTGCTGATGTTCAGGGCCGGATATTTCCGTTAAAATGAAGAGCACTCTTTCTCTATTCATCTCCAGTACAGTAAAATTCATCTCTCTCAACTGTGACCTCCGACCTCCATTCTTCTGAAGTTCTACGGCTCTCAGTGTCCAGAGATGTTTTCATGGCCTGCTCAGTCTGACAGGTACGAGTGTGCGTTTGCCATTACAGCTTTGACTGACATCAGCATGTTGCCGTGTGGTTGTGATTTAGCTGTTCTACTTTTAGCATCACACACAGACAACTGCCCCCCATAAACCCTCTCATTCAGAGCACAAAAACTCCTCATACAGCTCCATGTTATCCATTTCTGATCATAAACTGGTCAAATCATACAGAAACACACGCTGTTGGGAACAATGTGAGGAAAATGCACACATTCTAGTTCGGTCAGTTGATTTAGCTCCATCTGATCTGATAAATGAACCAAAACTGCATCGTGTTATCTAGACCAGTGGTTCCCAACCCTGGTCCTGGAGGCACCCCAACACTGCACGTTTTGCATGTCTCCTTAAATGAACACACCTGATTCAGGCCATCAGCTCATTAGTAGAGACTCCAAGACCTGAAATTGGTGTATCAGAGAAAGGAAATATGCAAAATGTGCAGTGTTGGGGTGCCTCAAGGACCAGGGTTGGGAACCACTGATCTAGACGACACACAAAACATCTTTTAAGTGTTTTGAAAGCACAGTGACTCTCTTTCCTTCACTCTTGGCTGGGTCGGTTTTGGTTGCAGCTGGACGGTCCTAGAGAACTGGCTCAGACTCCATGCAACACACTGGTTCTACTATTTATCTATGGAGGCTTATTTTCCACCACTTTTTATCTCACAATTCGGACTATTTTTCCTCACAAGTTGCGAGTTTAGAACTCACGATTCAGACTTTTTTCTCTGAATTCTGAGTTTACATCTCGCAATTCTGACTTTTTTTTTCTCGGAATTCTAAAGTTTACATTTTATAATTCTCACTTTTTTCTCAGAATTCTGAGTTTACATTTCCAAATTCTATATTTTTTCCCCCAAACTTTTAGACACCTGGCCTGACTGCATGCACATGCAAAATTCTGAGAAAAAAAGTCTGAATTGTGAGACGTTAACTTGCAATTGCAAGATATGAACTCGTAAAATTTGAGAAAAAGTCAGAATTGCGAGATGCAAACTCACAGCTGCAAAATATAAACTCACAATTCTGAGAAAAAAAGTTAGAACTGCGAGATGTAAACTCAGAATTCTGAATTCTGCAAACCCACAATTGAGAGATATAAACTCACAAATCTGAGGAAAAGTTCAGAATTGAGAGATTTCAACTGCGAGATATAAAATTGCAATTATCGTATTGGCCCGAATATAAGACGACCCCCCCTTTTTCCAGATGTACCTTTTGGAAAAAGTTTTTTTAAAAACCAAGTATGCAAACTCCGTTGGACGTGCACTGTGGGCAGACCCGATTAATCGATAATGAGAATCGTTGTCGATGATGTTCGTAATCGATAATAATCGATTTTATCGATTAGTTGTTGCAGCCCTAAAGGGAAGCACTTAACTAACTTGTTACCTTCGATTTTATTGCATTTAAATAGTCATTTGTCTGTTGTTCTAGTACTCTGAAATCACTTATGCTTGTATTGTTCTCATTTGTTGCTTCCTAGTAAACAGGACATTGACAAATGCAAACAAACCGTCTAAATAACGTTGTGACAACATGCTGAAAATATAAGTGCACAATAAATTAGCCATCCCTAGTTGGAAGGTCATCTAAATGTAGCGCAACAAGGTTGCTACAGCTCTCTTGCATATAACATTTCTGCATTGTTACAACCAAGGTTGCAATAGTAGTACAAAAAATAATGTTGCCAACAACATGTTTGATGTGTTGTCTGCTAAATGAATACATTTTCTAACTTTTGCTATGCATTTATTTAAAATAAAATATATATTATAAGGACAAATAAATTTCAATTTAGCAATCATTTTCTATTTTCGGTTTCTAGGCAACATGACGTCACAGAATGTTGACAGTGGATCTTCTTAGAACTCATACATGAGTATATAATCTAAAATACAAGGAACTTTGCAAAAATTTACCATGGTAACCATATTTTCCTCCAATGTAGTCACAATAGTTGAAAAGTGAAACAACATTATAGAAATAACGACAGAAATACACTGATATCTCATTAATTTACTATAGTTTTACAGTAATAACTGTATGGTATTTTGGTTGCACCTGTGGTTACCATGGTACATTTATGTAAGTGAAGCCTCAAAGGCCGACTACTACATTATTCTTAACTTTCAAAATAACTGACAACTACAAAAGCACGTGCAAAACGTCAAACGCACGTTCGCGCTCTATAATATATCACTCTTGGGGAACCACAGATATAAACCACAGAGTTTCTGTATGACTTACTTTGCGCAACTTTCCACTTCCCTCATGAGAGACGGAATAAAGACCTCGATGACCGGAGACACACACTGATGATCCAACATCTCAAACACAACCGCACAGATCACAGACCGAACTGAAGATCAACTTCGTGTGTTCCGATTCTGAATGATCACTGCTGACTGACTGAGGAAACAATCCGGCGTGCATCTCCAGAGCTCCTCCTCCAAACACACACACACACACACACAGCTGAGAGAAATAAAGCCATTCATACAGAACGACACGATTTTGAAGATTAAGATCTTATCGAACATTAACGAATAGCATGTTAATTTATTAATTAATTAAATAGCATTGAATAAAAAAATTACAATGAAAAACATTGCTAATACAGGTAAACCAACTGCCAGAGAGCAAAAAAAAAAAAAAAAAAGGGATATAAACTGATTTTCATGGCAGAAATGGGCTTCCTTACTATTTCTATAATGACTGTGCACTAACATACATCTTACATAAACTTCCATGTGTGTTTCGCATCACAAGGAATGAGGAGCTTCGTCAGTCACAGGCTGCTAGTGTGGTGCAGATGGAGAAATATGAAGCAAAACACATGGGTGGATTCCGGCGGATCTTCCCTCGGGAAGGAGGGGAGAAATATGAAAAGTATTTTCAACACAGCAGCTCTCTCTTCCAGGAGACTGCAGCCTCCAAAGCCAGGGAGGAGTGTGCCAGGTGTGCACATACTGCTTGATGTTTTGCAGAGATACATCAAGCTAATTTCAAACAACAGCAGAAGAAAAAAATTTATTCAAAATGTGTGTATCTGTAGGCAGCAGCTCCAGGAGTTGCGTCTGAAGCAGGAGCAGAAAGAACGGGAAAAGAAGGGATCACGTAAGCAGGATCTTCAAGGTGAATCTGCAGGAGAAAGAGCAAAACCAAGAAGAATTCAGCCCCAGCACCAAAACCCAAATTCAGTGAGTCATTCTCTTTAATGTTGCATTTATATATGCGCTTATAATAATTGTTTGCATCCAGATAGCACACCTATGTCTGCAAGATGTCTGATAAAGATCGCTTCATCTGGAACGCATCTGCTGTGTACAAACATCTGATAGACGTCTTTAAGATGTCAGTTTTACATACATTCTAAATCATAGACATCTTAAAGACATCTTCTAAACGTCTATTTGAAATCTGATAGGAAACGTCCTAAACAAAAATGACCGTGAATTTAACGGTAAAAGACTGTAAAAATGCTACAACCTGTTAAATGGTTAACGGTAAATTCCCCTACTATATACGGTGAAAAACTGTATTGGACATAAATTTTACGGTAGTATACCGTTTTTGGAAGTGAAAAATACCGTATAATTTACAGTGAATAACCGTAGTATATTAACATTATATCAGTTAATGAAATTACGGCATTTAACTGTAAATTTAAGTTAAAACCGTAAAACCTAAAATGTTGCTACCGTATTTTTTACCGTAAATTTTACGGATTTTTTTTTACAGTGTATATTGCAGATGAACAACGCTCTAAAAAATACGTCTTGCAGATGTATGCAGATGTCAAATAGACGTCTCCGTGACGTGAGCTATCAGGGATGCTCTTTCCAATGAAAATTTCCCCATTCGGACCTGATTGGTCGAACAATTTATGGTCCTACGCCTTCCACAGACGATATTAACACATATAAATAAATGTATAAATAAACCATATAAAAAATACATATAAATAAATGTATAAATAAACCACTTAACTTAGTGATTGCTATCGGGATGTGAAGAGACTTTCAACCAGCATAACAAAAAATATTTTTGAACCAAATCACCTACCCTGCCTTTAACACATTCGATGTCTCACTATTTTTATTTATTTATTTTCTTTCTTTCTGAGTGAAAACTGCATGTTTCTCTGGAGATTATACCATTCAAAGTTCTTCACTTATCATTCTTAATAAACTCTGTAATAGACTTATGAGAAGTTATGTAAAAGGATATTTGTGTAACTTCTACAAATGTACATTTATTTGTGCATTAAAATATTCTATTCTTAGTTTCTACTAATGATATTGACTGTATCATTTCAGTACTGTATCATTTGAGTAATAAACATTTAAGTGTTCAGTATTTAAAATAGAATGACTATTTTTGTAAGGTCAATAGTTAACATCTATCTATCTATCTTTTTATCTATCTATCTATCTATCTATCTATCTATAATTGTCTGTCT